AGTTCGTCATTACGAGTTCGACTAACATATCTTGAATTCTAAGACGTGATAAATTGCCGAGTTGATTCAAGTATAACAGATACCTGTAGGACTTAGAGAAAATCCTAAGGTCAGAAACTCCAACATGTAGAATCAGCTGTCACAGCCTTTCAACTTAGACGTTAAGATAAACGAAAATGAACCCGGTGACAGCATGAACTTTGTATGGATTTTTGACTATAGGTTTTTGTGAAGGTTGTGTGTCAGCTTTATAAAATACTTTTTGAGTATTTTGAAACATCTGGAGTGTGGTTTCATCTGAAAAAATGATCTGGTTCCAATTTTGATTTCGATACTTCATGGTGAATTCAATACGATGTTGTTTATGAAGAGCAGTGAGCAGAGGTATGGATTTTAGAATTGTACTAATATAATTAAGACTGTGAAGTTCATTGAGTATAGTTGTTTTGCTTATATCGAGGTTGGTATACTTCTCGTTTAAAATATTTGCCAGTTCGGCACATGTAGAAAATTTGTTTGCTGAAACAAGTTTTCCAAAGTGACGACGTTTTTTAGGGGAAAGTCTTTTTGGCCTTCCTGGTCAAGATAAAGGTTCTAAGAAAATGTTTTTTTTGAGTTTTCTGATATAGTAGTATATCGTGGGAAGTGGAATGGGGTTAAAAAGTGTAAGGTTTCAGTGTCATAGGTACCATTTTTCCATAAAGTGGCTATCATTTTATGACGTTATGCAAAAGTATTATAGGCCATGTTTATATGAAGATAACGTGACAAAGCATAAATAAAACATAAATAAATAATGATCAGCATTATATAAATATATCCATTGTGTAACCAGGTAAAATTATTTGCCGAACAGAGGTATACTGCGGGAATAATTGAAGTTTTTCTGCGTAAAATTTTTATTATAATTATTTTTTTCGCGCACTGTATAATGAAATAATAAAATAAAATAAAATTAATTGTTTCATACGATTTTTAATTCTAGTTTCTGATTGGCTCATATATATGTTACACAATGCTTACATAATTTAAAAAAAAACTTTTTTTTATAAATTCGTTCATTTTTACAAATATAAACTATTTTGTTTATTTGATTAAAATCCAATCAGTGGATTAAATTTTATTAATGTTTTTTTAAGTTCCTATTATAAAGGTTTCGCACTGTATGAGTGTAAAATCATATTTATCACATGTTATTCGTCACATTTATAATTTCGACCAAAAATTTATAATGCCGGCTAAAATGAAAGGTTAGATAACGTTATACATTTTCAAAAAAGGCAATTTTAATTTTGGTAAAAATCTCAAATTGGGTTACACCTACCTCTAAAAAAAGAAATTGTGACACTGGTCTTTTTAGTATTTTTGATATGTATTACGTAATTTATTTGGGCAGAACATTGAAATTTCAAATTGGATTGTCCAAAATTGAAATATTAATTTTGGAGTAGTTCCGTAACACATTACTTCATTATAAATTAAGGAAGGTAAGATTTTTATTTAACAATATAAAAAAAACGGCTTGCTCTCTATACGGACCGATATATTTATTTATGTTTACAATTAAGTAAAATTTTAAACTAAAACTTTATAAGATGGATACATATAATTATAATTTTATTCAAATGAATATTATAATCAACCCATTTTGAACTAAGTAAAGAGTACACGATAAATAAACTCTGTTTTAAAAGCGATTAACACTAATAGCATTTTCTGCTAAATCTTTGAGTAGTTCAATATCATATTTTTCCGCTATTCTTGAAAGATTTTCATATCTTTGACGATTTGGAGGTACGGCTTGTTTACTTGAAGACTTTTGATCCTGCCCATTTAGCCATAGTAGAAATTCTTGGAATGCATCTGCATCATCATCTATTGTGATCTCGATTTTGTTGTTTGTTGATTCAGTATATCCATGACAGAAAATGTTTTCAAAATATTTTGAAAAGGCTATTGAAAAAAAAAGAAATTAAATGAATTTAATAAAGGGAAATGAAAGGAAATAACCCTTAAAAGCATAAAAAATAATTTGAAATTACCAGAAAGCACATATCTGTTTGCACTACCAATCTTTTTTTTCTCTTTGTCAATAAAAATGACATCATGATATACATCACTTAAAAGTTTCTTTAGTAATAAATCTTTTGGATCGATTTTTTCACTTGATTCAGTGGCTCCAGCGCGCTTCAACAAATTTTTATAAGGCATTAAAAATTCATTAACGTTGTCTTGTGAAATAAATTTAAGCGAACTTGCTTGTACCCAATTGTTCTTATAAAACGGATCATCATCATTCAAAAATAATTTTTGATCACTAATCATCCTTATTTGCTCATCTTCCACGTTACCTTCGGTTTGCAAAAGTTCGTTCATTGTTTTATAAATTTCTTTGATTACACTTTTCACTTGTTCCTTAGAAGTTCTCCAAGTTTCTATATTGTTAATATTGTCAACAACGAAAATCCAATGTGCAATAACATTATCTGTAGAGGGAACTCCGATTTTATAACCCTCATTATTTTTTATAACTTCGTTGAAAAGGGTAGTAGGCTCAACAGACTTATCAAATAATGCATATTTAGTCCAACATGCTTTCATATATTTTTGTGAACAAAGTGCTTTAAAATTTTCAAACCCTGAAGTCTTTATTGGTTTATGATAAAATGGAGAAAGATTCATTTCTGATGGAACAAATTTCGTTGCAAGAATTTTGTTCCATTGTTCTTTGTTGAAATTCAAGGTGTTGGCATGTTCGTATAAATACTTTACTAAATATTTTGCTCGACCTTTAACATCATTTACTGGCAATTTAGCTTTAAGCTGTAACAGAATATCTTCTGCACATTCAATATATGTAACAGAATTCACTTGGCGCTTTAAACCAATTCTTCCAAGAGCTTCTAAACAAACAGAGTCATTTTGTAATTCTGATGGTAAAAATTTGTTTCTATCTGAAAAAGTATTGAGAAATAAAATAACACTCGAATCATATAATACGCTAGCAAGTACGAAAGCGCTAAGCGAATTATTAGGTACCATTCGTTTATCTTTGATATATTCCTCAATTTCTTGATTTTGTAGAGATAAAATTTTCTTCAAAAATATTATGTACTTTTGAGTGGGTTTTGAAAAGATGGTAAATGGTGGTTTTAATAGATGGTCTTTAACGTACTCAAATTCAGTAATAGTCTTAGCCTTTAATTTAGCAAGTGCCTCAAAATCAGATTCATCGTTGCATTTATAGAACACGGTTTCTTCACAAAAGGAAAAAAATGGAAGCGAGTATGGAAGGAGGGTTCCAGTTGTGGCATCAATGAACTTGTCTTGTGAAGAATGTGTTGGCCATATTGGTAATGATTTAAGAGTTTTCATAAAAGCTTCGTTGCTTTTTCCATGCTCTATTAAGACAAAATATATTTAAAATTAATTTCACACACGAGACTATTAAAATAAAATATTTTATAATTCTTCACTTGCCTGTTAATTTTTCAATCTCATCTTTAATAAATTTTCTAACCTTTATGTAATCATCAATTGATAGGTTTTTAAACATTTCCTTCATAGTTTTCGTATTTGAAGAACAAGCTCGTCCCAAGGAATTAATAATATTTATAGGAGTACATTTCACAACACATTTTTTAAGGTCTTTATTAGTACTTTTGAAAAATTCCATATTAGTAAAACGTACTTGTAGCTTTACTAATATCGGATATAAATCATGATCCTTTTCATATAAAAGTGGATTACTTGTATCAGGTCGAACAAGTTTGGAAGGTTCAATCACTGGCAATAGAGGAAATTTAGAGAGGTTGGCAAATTCTAAGTTTTCTGCATCTTCAATAAATTTTGACCAAATTTTTTCAAGCCACATTTCATTTGGTATACCATTGGGTCTCCATTTCGATTCTCTTGCCATAGGTATTTCATGTTTTAAAAGATCTAAAATAGCAGATGTATCAACCTTTTTAATATTTGTAATTTCAGAAAATATGCTATCCGAAAAAATTTTCTTTAGATTCTCTGGCAGTTCAGTGGAAACAAATTTAGATTTGCTTTTTGGAAATAACTCTAGATGTTGTTTTTCTCCGAGATAATAAACTTCACCAAAACATTTAACAGAACCATCGCTCAATGGAACTAATTGTAATTCAGTAAGTTGTTCAAAAGAACTTTTATCTTGAAGAATATAATTAAGCAATTCGAATAATAAATCATGATTTTGATGGAAAATATCAAAAGAAACCATAAATCTCTTTTCTTGTAATTCTTCGCAAATTAAGCTTCCGCTGATAGGTGTGTAATTGAAATTTGAAATCTGAGAACCAGCCTCCTTAAGTTGATCAAGCTTGGCCTTATCAAGTTTCACAATTAGAAATTCTAAACGGGATAATATATCTGCCATTACCGTCTCTTCTTCCTCAAGAATTTTAGCTTCTTGTAACGAAATGAATTGACCACCATCGAATTCGGTCCAGAAAAATTTATGTTCACCTTGACCTAATTTTTTAATAACATTTAATCCATAATTTTTGTACAAGCCCATAGATGAATCATTCTTAATCGGCCAAAAATTATTTAAGGTGTGTGGAATGAAATTTGTTTCATTTTTCTTGCGTTGTTCTTCAAGTTTCACAATGTTTTCAAATAATTTAACATGTAAATCGGGCAAGACATCATACAGAATATAATGATTCCATTTTGAATCTTCACGATCAACGTCATTTTCAAACTGTAGAACATTGTTTCTGGAACTAGACAAAAAAAAGTTTCCATTTAAATGAACGCCCAAGTTGGTACTTATTGACAAGGGTAAGTATGAAAAGATTTCGCCTTTGATTTCAGGAGGATTTGGAAACTACATTTCAAAAAATTAATATTTATATTTACGTTGAATAACGATTCGATTATAAAAGTAACAATGAAATTTACCGATTCAACTTTTAATTCATCCAAAGATTTTGTATCAGATCGAGCAAGTAATGAAGCAACACCTCCCCTTGGCTTTATTAAATATAATTAATTAATGTAATAATAATTATTATTAAATTAATTAATGAAATAATTCGTTTACCTTAATATGTTTTTTCCTCGAAAATTTTTCAAGTTCATTTGATTGAATTCTCTCATGCCCTCCTATACATAAAATCCATATTTCTGAGATTTTACTGTTTTGTATATCATTGATCTCAATTTCAATATCTAGTTGATATGTTTTTATATTGTTCGTAACACTTTCGTTTTTTCGAATATCGCGATGATCATCCGACATCTTAATTCCTGCTTTCCATATCGGTTGAGGAACTTGTTCTTGATCATTTATGTGTCGTAAACAACATGAATCTATATTTCTTAAAAAGAGCATTTCTTTATTACCCTGAATGCCATTAAGTAATTTCAAGATTTCTTCAATTTCAACAACTTGGTTCGTAATTTTACTCTCATTCGCTAATGATTCAGTTCTAAGTGGAAGCCTAAACAATGTTCCGTTGAAACTTTCATTAAAATTGCAATTTAAAGCTTCATAAGGATAGCATTGATCCGGGAAACTCTTCTTAAATCTCGTCTCCATAAAATTAATTTTAAAGCCTTTTTGTCTTTTAGGTGGACGTCCTTGTGCTGGAAGAAATTTTTCATTTGGATCAAGGAATATGATATATTCTCTACTTACGATGCTTGGTAAATCTGTAAGATGATAAGCACAATTGAATCCTACTCCAAATCTTCCTATTCGAGTTTCATTTTCATCATCGTCACGAGATTTTCCTCCAATTCCAAGTTTGGTCAAAGCCCTAAAATCATCATCAGAAAATACGGCATCATTATATATCCAAATCGCAGGACCTTGCCAATCATCCATTTCTTTTGTAAGTAAAGACATTCTAGATGAATCCAGCTGGAATTTCGGTCTTTCATCCACTATTATTGAAAACTTTGTGGCTTTAGCATCATCTGCATTCTACATTAGAGAGAATAAATTATTCAGAAATTTTTTTGTTTTGAAAGAAACAAAACAAAAATATAGTAACGGTAGGTCAGTGATGGCAAATTATAAGGTCATTTACTATTTTTTAAATGACCTTTGGTCATTTTGACTTGAAATTTATAATAAAAATGATGTCATTAGAGGTCATTTAAGGTCATTTCAAGGTCATTTGCCAACACTGCGGTAGGTTCATTACTTACTTGAAGAAATTCTTTAAAAAATTGACTTAATGAATAATCCTAATTATGTTCATACAGTTTAAAAAAATTTTACAAAATTAAAATCTAAATGTGGATAAATAAAGTGTTTGAATTTAAACGTTACCTTAATAATATTTTTTATTCGGGTAGTTAATAATTCATCTTGCTCAAATGTCTCCCAACCACCTATCGATTGATTAATTGTTTAGTTATACAAAATGAGCAAAATGAGAGATATTTGATCCTATCATATTTACCAAATATTGTTCCTGTTAAAGTTGGAATTCCTAGTTCATCAGCAATATACCGGCTTACAAATTGATGAGCAATTATGTGTTGACTTTTCTCATGTTGGCTAATTCTTTCTCCAATATCATTAAATTGAATTCTATCTAGATTAACAAGCATATTGTCAGTGCTTGGCACTAATAGTCCACTCAAATCATCCGGATCATTTTCTCCATTCCTAATTTCCTTTTGGATTTGAGAAATTCGGTTAAGAATCTGAACGACATGGTTTATTTCGTCATCTGATAATCTTCTTTCCTCATTTCCTTCCACCATATTGTTTATAATTAAAATCAACTCCTTGACTCCAATTTCATTTCGAACTCCCATTGCTTCAAATAAAGGTCTAAAATCACTTATGTATCCTATAGGAAGTTCTACAATTAAAGAATTATTATCCTCAAATTCAGTTGGAAGACGAAAGACAAATTTATCAGCCGAATAAAATGTATCATTATGCAAAATCCAAGGTTTGTTTTCCAAATCATTCTTTATAATTTCAAATGCTTCTTTATCATTTTGAAAAGCATTATTCATATATTCGTATATCGCGTTACAGATTGCTTTCAAATTCTCAGGTGATTGCCCACTAGATACACGAACATGACATGATTCTAATTGCTCTAGAACCTTTCTAACTTCTGGATAAGTTTGCCATCCTAAGTGCCTTAAAAAGTTATCATTTTTAACATTATAATTCAGTATTGGTGCGACCAAGCAAACTAGGTATTCATATTCTTTATAATAACAATCTTGAGGTTTCGAAAAGATTTGATTCCCAGATCCGTCAACAGTAGGAATCCATTCTTTATTTAGAATAGTATTCATGAATTCATGATTTTTATTTTCATTCAATTCCCATTTTTCATCGATGTATTTAAAAAAGTCGAATGCTTTGGTGTGAAATGAACCCTGGGACTTTCGAGCTACTATAGTATTAATACGATTGATTACATCATCTGGAAAAAGAATTGATTTCATTCCCAATGATTTCAAATTTGAAAGGAATAAGTTTCGAGAAATACGAAATCTGTTAACGGGAAAGGCTTGCTCGTCATCAAAAATATTTTCTCGAACACAAGTGAATCTGGATCAAATAGTTCTTTTGGTTTAACTAATCTTAGGTCCATGTCAAAAGACGCTTGTCTTTGCCAAGCCATTCTAAATGTGCCAACAGGCACGAAAGAAATTCCTCCAAGAGAATCTTTCAAACTTGGATCATGATCAAGCAAACTTTGCAACCTTTCAAAAAGTCTGTGTATTACAATACCTATGTCTTCTGGTGGTTGTGATTCGAGAAATGGCATTACATAACTTCGCCAATAGTCAAGTGGAACTAATCGAGGAATCTTAATGGTATTTTCCAGTATATATCTCAAATTTTGTGAACTTGAATTAAGAAACCTTCCTTGATTACTTGGATAAATAATTTTTCCATACGAATTTTCTTCATTCTGAGGAAGTAGGAACCAATTTGTATTTGCAGGTAATAATGAAATTGGAGAAGTATTATCGACTTCGGTAAAAATCGGTAGATGTTTAATGACTTCAATAAGGTTCGGTACTTCGTCTTCATTAGCGAGGCGTAAATGATTAGATAAATAATCAACGAGCTGTGATGCTTCAGGAGGTTCTAACCTATGATTCAAATTTTTTGGGTACGAGGTTTCGGCTCGAAAAGATTTTAGAACTGATAAAACATCATCAGGTTTAATAGTATATTGAGATGCTCTAGAGAAAAAAAAAAAATTAAATTAGCTTATTTAAAACATCATATGAAAAGCGGCTACAAATTCAAGTATTTACCTCCCCCATCTAGCCATTTCGCCAAATCTACTGTCCACAAAAACGGCACCAAATTTTTCGAAAATGGACTTTAAAATATTATCGTTTATTTGATTAGAAAATACGCTCTTAGGAGTATTTAGTTGTCTAAGAGTAGAGCGACTTGTTGGGATTAAATGAAGGTTTTCGAACTTTTCGAGATCCCATTTTCTATATCTCAGATTACTCCACAAATCGCAAATCCACTCATAATGATCTAATATTGGTATCTCTTCAGAATCTGCATTTTCAGAATTCAGAGAGAATTTAATCATATCGACGACAGCATATTCGTCTAGGATTTTAATGTTTAGATTCCATTCTTGTGCATACTCGCACAAAGCTTTATGAAGATCGTAACGAATCGATTTGTCAATGAATTTGTTCAATTGATTTTTAAAGGTGTTGAGCTCATCATTTATATGATTATCAAAGTGATCTTTTGGGTAAATATAAACGTAAGAATTGCCATGCTGTGTTAAAGTACCAAGCGTATCATCCGCAAGAGGAATCATCTCAAAACCTTCCAATTCGTCAAATTGTTTATCCTTTAAAATATATTCAAATAATTGTAAGACTTCGTCTCTTGGGATTATATCTGTGTTCCATCTGTTACGATTTTGATTTAAATAATTACGAATAATGGCAGGAGAAAAGAATTTAGGGAAATCTCCATGATTAGATTCTTTTAAGGCATTAAGAATGGGATAAGACGTTGATATCACAGGAAATCCAGCCTTCTCAATTATTATAGTCAATTTAAAATCAAATAGATTCTCTTCTTCAAAATATCCATCGAAAAGGGATAACCAATGAAATTCGGATTCTTGATATTGGGTGGCATCATCTGTAGCACTAAATTTTGTTCCGATTTCAATCTTTGATGAAGGTCCTTTGAATACGCGATCATCAATGCTAAGGTTATTAATTACATTTTGTAATAGATCTTTGTAAAAAGTACTTAAGCTACGTGATGTTCCTTCTTTAAGTATTGGCCAGAATTTATATACATCATTTGGTGAAATATTAGGAATCGTAAGCGGAATTTTACGAAGGAATCTCACCCAAGCTTTTGGTAGGACCTTTTCAAATAAATAATGATTCCACGAAACTTTCAGGCGTGCCAATGACCCAGCCGCCTATAATTTAATATTCAGCATTTATTAGTTAATTTACTACTTTTTATTACACTTTAAAAAAAAAAAAAAATTTAAATGCAGGATCATTACCAGATCTTCGTTTTCTGCGGCCTCCCATAAAGAACGACGATTAGTGCTAACCTGTATACAAAATAAAAATGTTAACATTTTTTAAAAAAAAAAAAAAAAGGATCAAAATATCAAAGTTCATTAATTCATACCGCAAAATATCCATGCACCGAAACGGGAAAAGGAGTAGAAATGGGAAGAGGTAAAAAGCAAAACAAACTTCCAGCATTCATCAAATCATTGATGGGAACGGCTAAACCAACGTTAGGGACGAACTTATAATCTCCAATGCTTCTTTTGTACTCTCTTTGAAAATATTTTTCGGTTTCGAGCAAGTCATCAAGATAATTCAAGATTAACCATGAACTTTTATTCTCTTTGGAATCTCCTTTTTGACGACAGAAAGTTACAATAAAAGACGTTTCTAATTGATTATTTCCTTCCAATACACCTGATTTTAATGAATTCATCATTGGTACAATATTTTTTGCTATCAACCGACGTTTTTCTCGAATTTCATCGGCACCTTCCAATTGAATTTTATATAATAATTCAAGTTCGGTAGCACCTTTTTTTTAATTCATAAAAGGAAATACGTTCAATATATTTTATAAATAATAAGCTATTAATGCTTTCATTTTCGTAAAATTTATCAAACATTTCCAAGATTGCGTCAGGTTTATAAATTCTGCCAGAAATTTCCGAGTCGGCGGAATCTACTTCAGCACGAAGTGGATAACGAAACAAAGTGCCATTAAAATGTTTGTCACACGGAATTCTAAAAGGAGCAAACTGATCAGGGTATTCTTTAAACATTTTCTCGTCGACGTCAATTATGACACCACCTCGAAAATAACGTTCATGTGGATCGAGAATAACGTATTTATCACCGGTAATGAAAGAAGGAACACAGATATAATCCCAAGAGACGAAGTCTTACAATTATTTGAATATATTTTAAAGGATAAACAATTTGACG